TGACACAGGTTGTAAAGTTGGCTGTACAGCTAGTTCCCCATATGATACAAGTTGATTCGTCTTACTAGCATGTGAGTGCTTTTGTTTGTTGCATAAAGCACTGTATTTTTGTGAGTGGGATTCATGGTTTTAAAAAAATATTTCTATATGACAGCAGTGAGCACTATGATTTATCCTTCTCTCTGAGCTATTGTCCTTTTGGGAGGAAAAAGTGGATGAGCAATTTTATTGCAAAGAGCGGGTAAGTAAAACATGTTTGTGATTTTAAAAAAAAATAAAATAAAAAAATTAGACTTTAAAGCTTTAGTAAATTTTAGTAAAGAAAAAAAAAATGGGCCCCGGTTGGTTTTAAGCCATAGTGTGCTAGTATGCACTGCATACTAGTGTATTGTGGCAAACTTACCTTAAAACAAAGTCCTCCAGTGGCGTGCTGTCACCGCTGACAGGGCTTCCATCTTCATCCGGTCCTCCTGGGTATGCGGGCTGTGGCTGCTTGAATGGCCAAGCCGCAATGACATCACTGCCACAGCACAAAGCTCTGAAGGGACGGCAGGAGTATGCCATCCCTTCAGAGCGCATGCACCAGTGACGTCGCCTGCTGCATCCTGTGTGCGTATCTCCTAAATACTGCAAGTTTAGGAGCAAAGAGCGGGTATTAGTGGATTAAAGCGGAGCGCCACTCAAAAGGGGATGTTCTGCTTTAAAGACTGGTCCCCCGCTCCCCATTAAGGATTGGCACCTTTAGGGAGCGGGTACCCGAAATTGACAGGTACCACTCCCACTTCTGCTGCGATCGCCTAGGCGATCGGAAGCAGAAGTCGTCCTACCCCCTCCCCATAGTCTGGGGTACGTGACAAGTCCCAGAAGATTACGGGGCCATTCAGGAAGTGCAGTGCTACTCGCGCATGCGCAGTGGGCACCCGGCTGTGAAGCCGCAAGCTGTCACAGCCGGGTTCCCAAACTGAAGATGCTGGTGCCTGGAACACCAGACGGCTGGTGAAACGGGCTGCGGGGGACACTGCGGGATCGTGGGACAGGTGAGTGGCTGTTTTTTTTTTTTTTTTTTTTTTAAAAAGTCAGCAGCTACAATTTTTGTAGCTGCTAGCTTTTATTTTTTTACAGTAAGACTGGAACTAAGCTTTAAGATATACTAAAATTGAAGCCAAATTCCAGCTCACGCTTTATAAGCTGTTACAGCAACAGTTTTTTTCCTTTTGGGATAAAGGTTTTACATAAATAAAAGCTGATCATTGTAAGCACCCCTGCCAGTAGTAAATGGTTTGTCTCAACCCACTAACTGCTACATCTGCAGGAGAAAAAAAAGAAAGGAAAGACAGTCTCATCTAAGTATTAGTAAGTGGGAACCGGTTTAACTTCGTCACAATAAGCAGATCAGGATAAATGTACAGAGCTTCGGCGGAGAGAGCAGTCAAACCAGTAGCATCCGCTTTCTGGGACTCAGTAGGAGGAACTAATGTTGGTCCCCCCCCACTGTGTGAAATTAAAAACTGGAAGCCATGAGGATTTCATCACTTCTGGTTTTGGTCTTATGCAAGCAAGACACTGCTGGTTTGTGAAAGCAACTGATCAAAATAATCTCAGTTTGATCAGATGCTGTGCAGACCAGAGCAGAGGTATGGGGCCTAATAGACCCCAGATCTCTCCATAAAGAGGACCTGTCACAGTCCATGCTGTGATAATTGTGAGTACAGATATGGACAATGACAACCATATTTTGTATCATACTCTGCAGATGTCCCCCCACTCCCTCATTGAATGATATGTGTGTGTGTGCTGCTGGGGGTCACAAGTGCATAAGGCACAGCTGGATAGCTTCATGGTTTTAACCCCAATTAAGCCTGGTTCCAGGATGTCTGATAAACCCTTTACCGGTTGTAAAACTGTAACTCAGGTGGCCCCTTGACATGTAGCCTTACCTCAGAGTGGCCATAAAAACGTACATCCCACTTGAATCACTTTTTCATACAAATTCATAACCTTCAACAGGAACAGGGTACAGTAAAATAAAGCATATATTCAGGTCATTTTAATACGAGTCACCGGACACCTTACACCCCCCTATGTGGCGTCGATAGGAGAGTAGAAAGCAATATGTTTTTATCGGGAATGATAAGATATGCCATATTTGGTGTCTGGACGTTCAGGATATGATTCTGCATATTAATCTGCCAGTGGCTAGGATGCTACATGTACCTAGTGAAGGTTATTGACCATGGTATAAACTTGGGAAGGATTTGGTCACAGCTTGGGTCTCCGCCTAGCACCCCTCCCCAAATGAGGGGATTGGCCTTGGCTTCAGTAGACACCCCCTGCTGAGACACTAGAAAACAGGCTGTCAGGCCTGGAGAGAAAGAAGAAGAGATTCTCCCTTTTAACATCAAGAACCATCTTTGGGAGAAAAGGCAACCCTTTTGTTCAGACGATTGGACTCTGCTTAAACCAAGGACTTCTGCAAGAGTCCTACCTTCCTAAACTTCTTTCTTTTATCTCTCTGTTGTGTTATTGCTCTCTCTATTTATATACATATATATATATATATTGGCTACCTCTTTTCTGTAAATATTTTTATTGCACCATTTTGACCTTTTTAGTAATAAATCCTATTTTCTGAAAAGTGTTGAACTGTTTCTAAAGCTCTTTAATGCAAACTAAGAATCCCTGTCTCTGAAGAGCGCTACTGTGTGTTTTAAAACCTCTGCATACATTTGTCTGCGGTGGCAGTGCGTATACAGACGCTTATTCAAACATCATAGTGTTACTGCTAAGATTTGTGAGTTTCCTCCTCTGTAAAAAGGTGGTGGTGGCCATGTAAAGGGTTAATTGCGTAATTAACCTGACCCAGTAACAATCGCTCTCAGGCTGCGGCACATGAATTGTGGTCCAGTGAGCTGGAAAATCTTTGTGCAGGGTGCAGCTGAGAGTGGCATTGTTACGCAAGTGGCAGCGCGGTTTTAGATTGGCTGGTCCTTCGGTCACAAGTTGGTGAGAATGGTTGGAGGTCTGACCCCACGCCTGTCACATATGCAATCACATTGGATGTTCATCCATTGTTCATCCCTTGTGATAACAATATTTATTTTATTTTGTAAATAAAATACATTTTAAAATTTAAAGAAAATAATTAAGCACCCCTGTTCCTCCGTGCTCACGTGCATGTTGGTCCTGCATGCATATGTAAAGGATGATCACACCCCGCATGTGAGGTATTACTGCAAACATCAGAGTGAGGGCAATCATTTTAGTCTAGATTCACACCTAAATGTTTTACGTTGCATTTTTCAGAAATGCACAGAAGTCCATTTAACATGATTTCCTATGGGACAGGTTCACATCTCTGCATTTTTTGGAAAGGATCAGGGACTTATTTAAACAAAAAAGTTGCATTTTTGATTCTATGGGCTTCAATGGAGACACTGCAGAAAAGCATGTAGTGCGTTTTTGATGAGTTTTGCAGTTTAATCTGCCCAGCAACAAGTTGGAAAAAAAATGCAAAACGCGTCAAAAACGCACCACAGAAATGGATCAAATGCAAATTGCATAGGTGTGAACCTAGCCTTAGTGATCCCAACCACGGCAACACCTGCATGGAGTTTGCATGTTCTCCCTGTGCCTGCATGGGTTTCCTCCGGGTACTCCAGTTTCCTCCCACGAAGACATGCTGGTAGGTTAATTGGCTCCTGTCTAAATTGGTCCTAGTATGTGTATGTATGAATGTAAGTTAGGGACTTTAGATTGTATGCCCCTTGAGGGTTAGGGACTGATGTGAATGTACAATATATATAAGTAAGGTGCTGCGTAAATTGATGGCGATATATAAATACCTGTAATAAATAAATGGTGCCAGTCCTCTTGTGTAACGCTAAACTGGTAACCTGCAAAAGCTTTTAAAGCATCACCTATAGATTCATGGAAGAGGATAAAATGGAAAATATGGTGTAGTTGGATAAAATGTAAAACCTTGAAAATATATACAGAATTGATTAGAGTAAAAGGGGGAAGTTTAGAAACTAAAAGAGAGTTACTATGGTAAATTCATGAAAGAGATGAACTTGATACAGACAGGTATGAGAGAAGAACTAGACTGGGAGGAAGGATGTGGATGGGGGGATGGGTAGAGGGGGAGGGACAGGGGAAATGTATGGGGTTACTGGAGTAACCAAATAGTACCCGAGAATCTATAGGTGATGCTTTTTTTTTTATATATGAAATATTTTTATAACTGATGTTTTTTCCATTTTGTATAATAATCAAATAAAAATGTAAATATAAAACAAAAAAAAAAGCATCACCTATAGATTCTCGGGTACTATTTGGTACCATTCCATAGGCGCACGCCATTTTAAAGTGTGACATGTTTGGTATCTATTTATGTGACATATCATCATCTCCTATATTTTACCAAACTGTGTTTTTTTCCTAAAAGTTTGCATTTGAAAAACCATTGCGCAAATATCGTGTGACATAAAAATATGCGACACCCACCATTTTATTCTCCAGGGCCGTTGCCTAAAATTATATAATGTTTGGGGGTTCTAAGTAATTTTTCTAGCAGAAAATGCGGTTGTTTACATGTAGGAGAGGGCTGTCAGACTGGAAGTAGATAAATGAATCAATAAAATAGAAATCTTCAAGGAATTGTTTAAAAATAAGTCAGAGAAATAATCAAGGCAGAGACACCTCTCCCTATATATATACATGAAGATAATAAAGGCACTAGTCAATGGTTCATCCTCCTGTGTGCCCATGCTGGAAGTGCAGCCATGTCTGGGCAGTGTGTGTTTCCTGTGTCGGCCCCTGAATACTGGCTGTCCATTGACACACATAATACTCAGCACTCACCTCCCAGCTCCTTTGTCTTTTCATCTCATTAATATTCATGACGTCAGCAGAGGTTATGAATATTCAGTAGCCGCTCTCACCAGCGCCGGAAGCTGCTCCTAGAGGTGATGTGTAACGTGTGCGCCGGAAGTAGAGGAATCATGGCTTCAGAGGAGGATGGAGGCGACTGTCCGGTGTCCTCGGATATTCAGCCTGGAGACCGGGGCAGCTTTCTGTGTCTCCTGTGCAGCATCAATGTCCCGAACCGTGAGTGTTGTCATAAAGCAGCCAGACGTCTGTCCATTGTCACTACATTCCCCCCTAGCCGTGTAGCTGGTTTTCTGGGGTCCCTAGAAAAGGCTACAGATGCTGTCATTCAGTGATCAGCCATAACATTATGACCATCCACCATAATCCAGTATGGACTCCACTACCAGGTATGCTGTGGTATCTGGCCCCAAGATATCAGGAGAAGATCCTTTAAAGCGGAGCTCCACTTAAAAGGAGAAGTTCCACTTTAAGGACTGCTCCCCATTAAGGCACCTTTGGGGGGAGCGGGTACCCAAATTTGACAGGTACCTGCTCCCACTTCCGATCCTAAGCAATCGGAAGCAGAAGGTGTCCTCCCTCCCTGAAGTCTTTGGGGACATGTGACAGGTCCGAGAAGACTACAGGACCATTCATGAAGTTCAGCGCTACTCGCGCATGCGCAGTGGGCACTCGGCTGTGAAGCCGCAAGCTATCACAGCCGGGTGCCCACACTGAAGATGCCAGCCTCCTGGAATACAGGACGGCCTGTGAAATGGGCTGCAGGGTACACACCGAGGGACAGGTACGTTTTTGTAGCTGATGACTTTTATTTTTGACAGCGTGAGTAGAACTCCGCTTTAAGTCCTATAAGTTGTGAGGTGAGGCCTCCATGGATCAGATTTGTTTTTGCAGCATATCCCACAGATGCTGGGGGGGGGTGGGATGATGCGGGGGGGGGGGGGATTGGATCGGGAATTTGAAGGCCAAGTCAACACCTCAAACTCATTGTATTCCTCAAACCATTCTTGAAGTGATCAGACCAGGTCATCTTTTATTTTTGCTCCATGGTCCAGTTTGCATGCTCACACGCCCATTATAGGCATTTCTGGGGCATTGGGGCAGCACAGTGGCTTAATGGTTAGCACTTCTGCCTGGCAGTGCTAGGGTCGCTGGTTCGATTCCCAACCATGACACCACCTGCCTGGAGTTTGCATGTTCTCCCTGTGCCTGCATGGGTTTCCTCTGGGTACTCCGGTTTCCTCTTACACTCCAAAGACATGCTGGTAGGTTAATTGGATCCTGTCTAAATTGGCTCTAGTATGTGTATGTATGAATGTGAGTTAGGGACCTTAGATTGTACGCCACTTGAGGGTTGGGGACTGATGTGAATGTACAATATATATGTAAAGTGCTGTGTAAATTGACAGCACTATATAAGTACCTGAAATAAATAAATTTCTGGCTGTGGACAGCGGACCACATGGGCATCCTAACCATCCTGCGGCTACACAGCGCCATGCACCAATGCACTGTGTCATGCACCAATGCACTCCTATCAGAAGCAGCAGTAACTTTTTCAGCAATCTGAGCTACAGTAGCTCTTCTATTGGGTCGGGCAAAACAGGCCAGCCTTTGCTCTCTACAAGCGTCAATGAGCCACGGCCACCCAAGACCCTATCACTGGTTCTGCTTCCTTGGACCACTTTAGGTAGGTCCTGACCTTTGCAGACCAGGAACATTCCATGAGAGCTGCAATTTTGGAGTTGTTCTGATCCAGTCATCTAGCCATTACAATTTGTCCCTTGTCAAAGTCGCTCAAATCCTTACACTTGCCTGTTTTTTTCTGCTTTCAACACATCAGCTTCAAGGACAACAGTTTCACTTGCTGCCTAATCAATCCCACCCACTTTCAGATGCCTTTGTAATGAAATCATCAGTGTTATTCACTTTACCTGTCAGTGCATAATGTTATGGCTGGTTGGTGTACATGAGACAGTGGCTCAGCATACATTCTGGTGTAGCTGTCAAAGGGCTGTAAGTGCACACATTCTTCTCCTCTTTGTTTCTGTTTTATGTCTGGTGTAGGGACTTGCATAAATGTACTCTTACCTGTTAGAAGTATTTGTGTTGTTTGAGAGCCACTCTGGTAAATCTGTTGCTGACAGCATGACAGGATTGTTAAAGTGTTACTAAACCCACAACCATAAGATCAGTCTGTATATGCAGTAAAGCATGCTTGTTATACTTAATGTGGAACCTAAGGGGTTAATTCTCCACATCGTGTAAAAAGGATGTTTGTCCTGTCTTCTCTGATCTTCCCCTTCTTGTACTGTCCCCAGTCCATCTGCTGATAGAACAGGGCCTTGGGAGCAAGCCTCATAGGACAATCAGAGGAGAATGAAAAGCCTCCTACAAGCTTTAACCAGGGCTCTGCTGGACACTGATAGAAGTCACAAGATTGCTCTAACTGTCGATGAGAAAAGATATTTAACAGCTTATGTTTACAAAAATAATTTAATGTCCGTTTGTGTACTGTGGGAGACCAGATATAGTGCATACAGGGTCCTGGGTTTAGTAACACTTTTAAGTCAGCACTCGCTTGCTTTTACTGTATCGCTCAGTTGCCAAACGAGCAAAGTGAGTGTCACCCCATCAATGCTTCCTTACTGGCCAGGCCAGGGAGGTCTCAGCCAATGACTGCTCCCTGGTGAAAACCACTTAGGTGTCACTCCACCTCTGCTCCCTCACTGGCCAAGTCAGGAAGGCATCAACCCATCACTGATTCTGCGTTGTCACTCAATTGTTGAATCCTTTCTGGCCAAATCAGCAAGGTGTGACTTCATTGTTGATTTCTCTCTAGCTAAACCAGTGCAGGGTCACTAGCTAGTTATTTTTCACTGGCTGAACCAGCAAGGTGTCATTCCATCACAGATCCCTCAGTGGCCTAACAACTGAGGTATCACTAGGTGTCTCTCTATCTTAAAGCAGAGCTCCAGTTTAAAAAAAAAAAAAAAAGTCAGCAGCTGCGAAAACTGTAGCTGCTAACTTTTAAAAAAACAGCCACTCACCAGTCCCTTGATCCAGTGGTGTGCTCACCGCAGCTGGTTTCACCGGCCGTCCTCTGTCCCCAGCACCGGCATCCTAAAGTGGTTGTAAACCTGAATAATCTATATTAAAATGAACAGTCTCCCTCACTCGGTAAAGCAGCAGAAGTCATGTGTCCCTAGTCTGGCTGGGAAAGGAGCAGTGCCCCTTCACCGTCAGTGGGAGGAACAGTGCCCCTTCGCCGTCGCTGGGGTCAGTGGGAGGAACAGTGCCCCTTCGCCGTCGCTGGGGTCAGTGGGAGGAACAGTGCCCCTTCGCCGTCGCCAGTGGGAGGAACAGTGCCCCTTCGCCGTCGCCAGTGGGAGGAACAGTGCCCCTTCGCCGTCGCCAGTGGGAGGAACAGTGCCCCTTCGCCGTCGCCAGTGGGAGGAACAGTGCCCCTTCGCCGTCGCCAGTGGGAGGAACAGTGCCCCTTCGCCGTCGCCAGTGGGAGGAACAGTGCCCCTTCGCCGTCGCCAGTGGGAGGAACAGTGCCCCTTCGCCGTCGCCAGTGGGAGGAACAGTGCCCCTTCGCCGTCGCCAGTGGGAGGAACAGTGCCCCTTCGCCGTCGCTGGGGTCAGTGGGAGGAACAGTGCCCCTTCGCCGTCGCCAGTGGGAGGAACAGTGCCCCTTCGCCGTCGCCAGTGGGAGGAACAGTGCCCCTTCGCCGTCGCCAGTGGGAGGAACAGTGCCCCTTCGCCGTCGCCAGTGGGAGGAACAGTGCCCCTTCGCCGTCGCCAGTGGGAGGAACAGTGCCCCTTCGCCGTCGCTGGGGTCAGCGGGAGGAACAGCGCCCCATCATTGGTATCAATGGAAGAAATAGTGCTTCATATCAGTGGAAGGAAAAGAACCCAAACGACCGTGGGCCGCAGTTTTGAGACCCCTGACCTAGGCAGAAGAAGACAAGATGGGAGCGGGCACCGATCAAAATCAGCTGCCCCTCTTTCAGCAGTTGTCTTTGCTTCTGTTTCGTCCTCCTCTGACCACACTCCAAGGGGGAGTTTGGTCATTTTTGCGTTTAGCTGCATGTACGTTATGAACGCATGCTACTGAGGACAGGTTAATCCTGATGCATAGATAGACGTTCATACATTTACTTTTTCTAGCTCCAAAACGAATAGCTCTGAGATGGTTGTCTCCTATTCCATCAGCATATCCTCAATGGTAAAATATGGTCCACAAAACTCTTGAAAAGAGAACAAATAACATACATAGGGTTTGTGTATAACATATCTGTAAACCACGGTCTCCTTGGCTAGCTGTTCATTCTTTGCTGGTTTATTCCTTTTACATTATTATTCAGATGTGCTCTTACTGTAGAGCTCTATTTTTTTTTTTTTGCTGCTGTACTTTTTAGCCATGCATTAATACTGGAATTAGGAACTGAAACATCATACTCCTGTTAATTATCTTACATGCAGTGCTGGGATATGTTCATGGAATGCACTGTTTCTCATTTCTTTCTATGTTTTGTACATCAAATGCTGAAAAACTCTATAAAAGCTTAAAAAAAAAAAAGAAAACATGCTGTCATTTTTTTTCATGAATGCATGACCTACAGTCAGCAAAAGAGAAAGATACTTAAAGAATGAGTTCACCTTTGGAATGTGTTACATGCTCCACTCTTATTTATAGTGGAACATGTAAACTGTTCCAGCTTCTGCCTCCTTTCCCTGATCCCCTCACCCAGTGGGCGGGGGATTTTCTCACAACCCCCACTATTTCTATTTAGAAACAGTGCGGCTGTGTGGGGTTCTGCTTCATTCATTCACAGAGTTCTATGAATGAATGGACTACAACTACCTTTGGCCGCCACTGCTGATGGTTTGTAGTTCTCAATGAACGGTGAGGGCACTGTTGAATACAGTTCAGTAACTGCCTGCCCAAACGGACTACAAGCAGACAGTATATTGAGAGTCTGCAGGAGCCTGGTATTGCACCCACAAACTGCTGATCATGGGTGCAATGCTTTACAGTCTCCACTGTAAAAAAATGAACATTTTTTTTACCTGCAAAAAGATGTGCATTTATTATCAATTTTTTTTATATAAAAGGTGAACTTGGCCTATAAACTCTTTTAGGGCCTGTTCACACAGGTGTCAATAGCATGTCTTGGACGGGGCTTTGGAAATCATTAAATGCTTTGCAGAATGGTACAAATGTCAGCTGCAATCCCATCGCTCTGTTTTGATTTTGATGCTTCAGGCATCAGGTGATTGGCCAGTCAGTGATCACATGAAGAGTAGTAAGCAAGATTTCACTTCTGACATCATTGCTTACTGCGTGTGAGATCTGTAAATGATCACAGAGGTCACATGGTACAAGGCTATTCACAACAGCCTTGTACCATGGGACAAGCTGTGACCAATCACAGCTCATACAGTATTTCTCAATGGCTGCAAGAATGCAGCCAGAGAGAAGGAGAAATGATTGCGTTTACAGCCTTTATGGGTGTAAAAACAATCAGTGTAAAAAAAAAAAAAAAAATTCTTCATAACCCCCCAGAAGTAGTACAGTGTCACCAAGTGGATGCACACACAGTGGCTGCACAAATGCAATTGCATGTCAAAATTTTATATGCAGGCGAGCACGGGTGCACAGATCCAAACACACAGTGTCTACCATTTTGTTTTACATTTTCCAGAAGCAGTTTGATATGAAATTGTATTCAGTTACTGCAGGCATACCAGATTTTCAGGCAGCAGAGCAGCTTCCACTCCTCTGTCAACAGTGTTTAAAAGTGTCATGCTTGTCAAATAAAACTGCTAATAATGTTGAGTGGTAATTGGTCTTAGCCTCCTCTGTGTTTTACATCTCTTTTGTAGGCCCCAGCCTCGATGATCACCTACGTGGGCGACGTCATAAGCGAATGTGTGAGGAGCGTGACAAGCGCCAACAGCAACAAGAGCGTAGTGTGTTTGTCAGTGGTTTCCAAAAAGGCACCACAGAAGAGCAGCTTAAAGATGTCTTTCAATCAATATCATCTGTCAAGAATATTGTCATGGACAAAGACAGGGTAAAAAGCATTCCCAGATTGCATTCTATCCCATGATATACAGTTAGGTCCATATATATTTGGACAAAGGCAAAATGTTTTAGTTTTTGAAGGTATTTACCAAAACACATTCAAGCTATAGTTATATAATGGATATGAGCTGAAAGTGCACATTCTCAGGTTTAATTTGAGGGTATGTACATCCAAATTGGAGGAAGGGTTTAGGAATTACAGCTCTTAAGATTTGCCATCCCCCCTTTTTCAAAGGACCAAAAGTAATTGGATAATTTAATCAAAACCTGTTTCATGGCCAGGTGTGGGCTACTCCTTATTTCTTCATCAATTAAGCAGGTAAAAGGTCTGGAGTTGATTCTAAGTGTGTCATTTGCAGTCTATTGCTGTGAACCTACATCATCCGTTCAAAGGAACTGTCTGTGCAAGTGAAACGGGCCATTGTAAGGCTTCAAAAACAAAACACATCCATCAGAGAGATAACAGCAACATTAGGAGTGGCCAAATCAACAGTTGGGTATATTCAGAGGAAAGAAGAACGCACTGGTGAGCTCAGCAACATAAAAAGGCATGGATGTCCACGGAAGACAACGGTGGTGGATGATCGCAGGATCCTCTCTACGGTAAAGAAAAACCCATTCACAACATCCAGACAAGTGAAGGACACTCTCCAGGAGGTGGGCATATCATTGTCAAAGTCTACAATCAAGAGAAGACTTCATGAGAGCAAATACAGAGGGTTCATCACAAGGTGCAAACAATTCATAAGCCTGAAGAATAGAAAAGCCAGATTAGACTGCCAAAAAACATCTAAAAAAAATGCCAGACCAGTTCTAGAAAAGCATTCTTTGGACGGATGAATCTAAGATTAATCTGTACCAGAATGACAGGAAGAAAAAAAGGCTTGGAACAGCTCATGATCCAAAGCATGCAACATCTTCTGTAAAACATGGTGGAGGCAGTGTGATGGCATGGGCATGCATGGCTTCCAGTGGCACTGGGTCATTGGTGTTTATTGATGATGGGACAGAAGACCGAAGCAGCTGGATGAGTTCTGCAGTGCTTACAGATATACTGTCAGCCCAGATTCAGCCAAATGCAGCAAAGTTGATTGGATGGTGCTTCACAGTACAGATGGACAATGATCCAAAACACACTGCAGAAGCAACCCAGGAGCTTTTGAAGGAAAATAAGTGGAATATTCTGCAATGGCTGAGTCAATCACCTGATCTCAACCCAATTGAGCATGCATTTCACTTGCTGAAGGCAAAACTAAAGGCAGAAAGACCCACAAACAAAGAACAACTGAAGACAGCTGCAGTTAGAACCTGACAAAGCATCAGAAAGGAGGAAACCCAGTCTTTGGTAATGTCCATCGGTTCCAGACTTCAGGCACTCATTATCAGTTAAGGATTCTCAACAAAATATTAAAAATTAATATTTTATTGATTATAATAATTTGTCCAATTACATTTGAGCCCCTGAAAATGGAGGAACTGTGTATAAAATGGTTGCAGTTCCTAAAATTTGTACTTGATATTTATGTTCAACCCCTTGAATTAAAGCTGAAAGTCTGCACTTCAGATTCATTTGGGTTTTTCGTTTTAGTTTATTCTGGTGGCATACAGAGCCAAAAGTAAAAAAAATTGTCCCTGTGTCCAAATATATATGGACCTAACTGTACATACAGAAAATTGTCTTAATAAATATCACTTGTGGCTTTCTGCAAAGGCTAGCTTTTGCAGAAAGAAAAGTGTGTGATAGCAGTAGTATGTGACTTTATTCAGAAAGTGTGCTGGTTTCCTTACCAGGCATAGTACTGCATCTTTTTTAGTTGTGGAAGATGATAAAAATAGAAATTATGGCTATGTGTGGGTTAGGCTTTTATATTGTATAGGTAAAGGACACACAGTGAGCGCTCTCAAAGAAACAGCAGCTGAACATCCAGGATAAACGCATATAAAAAATCCTCAGTAAAACATATACATATAAAAATGCAGCGCTGTAAAATGATCAAATCATGCAAATCAACACAATAGTAGTTCTGAAAAGGTGCTCATTAATTGCCAATGGAAAGAATGCAAACTAACCAGAAACGCATTTAAAATACGCATGTGTGTAAGAAATCCTGGAGATTCCCCTCTCTCCCTCTGGTCAGAAAATGGATATGTGCTGAAATGGATGACGATAACGCCCTCTTGTGGGAAAACGAAATCCTGCAGATCAGGAAGCTCCCAGGATAGGATAATCCTCTTCAATGGAACCAGGGCTGGGATTGAAATCACTCTGTGGCTGTGAAATTGGGAGAAAGACCCCTCACAGAGAACACAGAGAGATACTCATAGTGTAGTATATTACTTAAATTTATTTAAAAAAAACAAGTAAAACATATAATCAGGTGGCAAGTGAAAGTGACCCACTGACCCTCTTAAAATTATAGGTGGCCGCCGGGCCTCCACATGGCACCGGCGACGTAGTGTCAACGACGTCCACAGGCTCCCTCTGACGCGTTTCGTGCGCACGCACTTCTTCTGAGGTAGAGTAAGGACCATCATGACAGCAGCGCCGTTTAATTTATATAGTATCTGGCACATGTGCATTACGGTGGCCATATTGTCGTAGCCCGCATGTCTGCGATTGTGAAGTGCACATGTGCGGCGCCATTTTACCAGGGGCAAATTGCAATCAACATTATAATGACAGGCAATGGCAAATCTCCTGCAGTATATTGAAATGCTCACCCGAAATCGGGTATATCAAGCTACAGCATATAGTGCTGTAAACGTGACTAATATACGAAATGTCTGGACATAATCCCTGTTTATGTTCTTCAAGAGAGGGGAATTGAGCAACTTTATGTGCACAGCCATAGACGAGGGTATTTTCAAAAATGCAGGTACCATCCGCATCAAAACGTATGTCACAAATGTCCGCAGTCAATCCACTGCTAAACATAAAATAAACGTAATATCAATTAAAATCCGAATTTTTTATTAAAAATATATACAAGTCGTTTATTAGTGAAAATTATATTAAAAGATCCTTTTATATATAAAAAAAGATTTTTCGTACTAAAATTATAAAACATATTTATTCAAAAACGCATGAAAAAAATGCATGAAAAATTGCATGAGATAAACGTATAAAAACGGGAAAATGGCCACCTGGTAAAATTGGCAAACATGATCAACATCCTTCAGTATTGTGTGTACTAAAGGTGGGGTGATCAATCTTTAAAATAAAACATGATCATGATAAACTATATGTATACATAATCAATAATATAAAGTTATATATGAATGAAAACTTTTTTCACACCACCTCTATATATACTGGGGTGTGAGTCCCATCAACAAGTATCAAATTTAATTTTAATATATTCTTACATAGGCAAGATTCACCATACGCTTATCAAAATCACATAATTAAGGGTCAAAAAAGGTAACATAAAGATAAAATAGTATCATAAATAAAAAACACACTATACCATAGAAGGAGTTCAGCTATTATCAATAAAGCAATTCACATCCAGTTCAATATTAAGCCCAACTGGATGGAACGTATCTAATTCATATATATACTTGGTCTCAAGTTGAGAGACAGCCCTGGTTTTGTATGTTCCTCACCAGTGTGGGGTGACAATATCGATGCCTGTAAATTTTAAGCTAGTAGGATACCTATTGTGGCATCGTCTGTAGTGTAGGGATAAAGAATGTTCCTTATACCCCCTCCTAATATTGTTAATATGTTTCCGGAGACTATCTCTTAGTCTCCGCGTAGTTCTCCCCACATATTGCTTGGAACAAGGGCACTCTAATAAGTACACTACGTACCTGCTGTTACAGCAGATAAACTTATCAATTGTGTGCACTATGAGTTTGATTAGAAATGAAAGTATCAATCCTTCTTTTTCTTCTGCCATCACACTTGCATGCTATACATTTGTTACGGGGTAAAAACCAGTATAGTTAAATAATGTGGGGGCTGGAGTTGGCAGAGTAACGACGTTAGGAGCTATTTTATCTCTCAAAGTGGTGCTTTTTCTGAAAATGACCTCAGGTCTATCTGGAAGTATTTTTGATAAGGTGGAATCAGCTTTTAAATATTATACTTATGTTAATCTCTTGCTGCCCAGCCACTGTATTAAAACGGCGGCAGGGCGGCATGGCTGCACAAAGGCACGTTTTTTAAACGCGCTCCGCGCTCCCAAGGTTTTCACGGGCAGGGGGTGCACGCGCGCCGCCCTTCCGCCGACCCGCGGCTGTTAACATTTGATCCCCGAGGGATTAATCATTCAGTTTCAGCCAGTGATGTCCGGCTGAAATCGGATGATCGGTCCCAATCCTATCCTGTCCTGTGTTGACAGTTACACAGGACAGGATAAGATGTCATTCTTCTCTGCCTGGGCACATTCCGTCCCAGAGACAGAAACACACAGTAAACGTGAGTAAAACACTACACATTTACAGTTAGAACACACCTAGGTCACATTTAACCCCCTGATCACCCCCCCCCCCCAGTTAACACCTTCACTGCCCTGTCACCAGTGTCATTGATCACAGTGAACAGATTTTTACTTTTTTTTTTTTTTTTATTTAAATATTTATTAAATTTTTCATATAAAATACAAATACCCAAAAAGGGAAACAATTCACATATAAATAGGCATTTATAACATTTCTACATTTCCCCTTCTAAAAACTCTTTTCTTTCCCTTCCCACCCCTCCTTCCCTCCTCCTCCCCCTCTGCAGACTCTAAACCATTCTAATCTCTCGAGGCATTATTAATTTTTGGCTAACTTTCTAGTTCATAGTTTCCTATATTTCTCTTTCCATCCTCCTTTTTTTTCCCATTTCATATAATAAACTCCCATGCTATCTTCCTGCATATGGTATGATCTTTACATTCTACCTATCTGGTTTACTCTATTAATCCAGTCTTCTTCTTTCGGTACCTCTGTTTTCTGCCAAAACTTGGGTATCAACCCTTTCGCCGCATTTAAGAAGTA